AGGTACTCTGCATGTACGTTACAGTTGTGTAAGGTACTCTGCATGTATGTTACAGTTGGATCGCTTGGTTTTTTTGTGTGACTCCTCACATGGAACAGGGGCTGTTTCTGATTCAATTGCCTGCTTTGGGGACCCTTTCCTCCTTCCAGGGTGCCTTGTCCAGCCTTACTAGAAGAGGTACCTAGTCTCACTGCAGCTTGATATGCATGGCTGGTTGATATCCATGGGAGCCCTGCCCTTTTCTGAAGAGAAAGGGAGAAGGAATGGATGGGGAGGAAGAGGGGAGATGGAGGGTGGGACTGGGAAGAGAGGAGGGAGGGAAGACTGGTCAGGATGTAAAAACAAAATAACTAAGTACAAAAAAAGAATAATTTCACAGAATGGGAACAAAATTAGTGTTTTTACTAATACTACTGGGCAATGAACTGAGAGGACTTCATGCTGAATGATAGAAGCCAGGTTGAAAAACAAAAACAAACAAAACCCCTGACCTTCCACTTATATGACATTCTGAGGCATGTTAAACTAGCTGAGGGAGGTAGAAATCAGACCTACTGGCTACTTTTCATGGAGAGTGTGTCAGTAACCATGGAGATTGGCTATAAAGGAACTGGAGAAGCGGGAAGTACTGGAGACCATCCGTCCGGGCCAGACAGGCTGTGGCAACAGGTCAGACCTGATGAAATGTACATTGATGATCTGTGCACCGTGCGTTCCTTACGTCTCAGGAAGCGTCCGGGAGCAGAGCATGGCTCAAGGTTTGAGTCCAGCAACTGGAAGAACAGGTGAGAAGACGGCCGGACAGGAGTGGGTGGGCTGGGGAGCGGGGTGGACATGTGTTTGACACGCCCACTGGAAGAGCAAGCAGAAATGTCAAGTTCAGAGGAGAGACAGTGGCAAAGCTGGGAACTGCGGTGCACAGACAGTGTCTGAAGCCGCGAACGGCCCGCGAGAGCACACGAGATGATGAAATGAGCCCTGTGGTTAGTCCTTGAGGTCAGTACAGTGGTGCCTTCACTCTCGTTTAGTGTTTTGAGACGAGGTCTCCCTCTATAGGCCAGGCTGGCCTGGAGTTCGCTGTGGAACTCAGGCTGGCTTGAAACTTGATGCAATCCTCCTGCTTTGGCTTCCTATGCACTGAGATTACAGGTGTAAGCCACCATGCTCAGTTACCTCTCTTTCAATATTTTATTTTCTGAGTTTAAAAAGATAATTATTTTTCAAACGCTTTTATAATTAGGTTTAAAATACAAATTTTAAAAATATTTATTTTATTTATTTTTATTGTGTGTCTGTGGAGGAGGGGGTGTGTGCGCACATGAATGCAGGTGCCAAGGAGGCCAGAGCAGGCCGTGAGACACCTCTGGAGGTGGAGTTACAGGTGGTTGTGAACCAACTGACGTGGGCTCTGGGAGCCAAACTCAGGTCCTATAGACCAGTGTGTATTCTTTACCGCTGAGCCATCTCTTTGGACCCCCAGCTATCCAAATTTTAAAGATAAAAGAAGGGACACACAAGGAGAAGCCAGGTTAGGAAATTAGGATTTGGCAAGAACTTCTGAAGCCTCAAAGCACAAACTCTTGACCCTTCTGCCTGGATACGGCCCACCCTGTACGCTTGCCACCTACTTTCCTACCTATTGTTTATATGTTTTTGTCTTGAAGCAGGATCTCCCTGCATAACCCAGGCTAACCTTGAACTCACTTCGTACTCTAGGTCAGTTATGAAATAATGGCAATCCTCCTGCCTCCGCTTCACAAGTACTAGGATTGAAGTCGTGCAGCACCACAGCTGGCTGCTGTTTTCAGGGTTTGAATATAAAATTACTGGAATTAAATCTCAGTTTCATCTAGTAGTTCATGGACAGAAAAGGCAAAAAAGAAAGAAAGAAAGAAAGAAAGAGAGAGAGAGAGAGAAAGAAAGAAAGAAAGAAAGAAAGAAAGAAAGGAAAAGATTCATTATACAGATTCAATATAAGAAAAGGGAAACTGTGTTCTTCTCTGGGTTAGAGTTTTGAAAAAAATTATTCCTGTGGGACTTTCTAAATGACTTTATGGACTAAGAATGTATTTATAGCAAGTGTTGTTGAAAATTTCCCATGACTGGTTTGAAGTTAACCATGGAAAAAATAATGAGTCAAGCTCTTTGACCTCTAAGCTTCTTCCTCCAGCAGACAACTACAAGTAGCTAGCGACCGATGCACACATGCTCAGCTCCAGATAACTCTGCATTGAATCATAAACAAAACGCTAATTTGCTAAATACATCTTTATTTGCTGTAGATGTAGACAGTGACTTCTGAATTTTGAACCACAGCCTATACTTGATACCCGCACAGAAGGATATTTTATCCCAGGTTCCCATCTTGACTCCAAATTACACAATTGCATGTCCTATGTCATAGGAAAATGCTCATCCCTCTACCCCCACGCTCCCCATGCCAGCCCTCACCCCTTCCTGAAGCTGGGCACTGTGATGTCCCCCTTCCTCTCAAGCTCCTACCTTATGCCCAAGTGTTTACAGTTTTTAATGTGTGTGCGTTCTTCTATGCATGAGTATACAACATGTGTACATGTGCATGCATGTGTGTATTTGCTTGTGGGGACCAGAGGGAAACCTAAGTTATCACTAGGAATGCTGCCTACTTCTTTTGTGACAGGATCTCTCACTGGCCTGGATCTCATTAATTAGATGAGTCTAGCTGTCCAGAGAGCCCCTGGCGTCCCCTGTCTCTACCTCCACAGCCCTGGGATTGCATGTGAGCACTACCATGCAAGGCATTATTATGTGGGTTCTGGAATCAGTCTTTGTTTGGAATTACCAGTGGGGTGGAGGCCCTTTCCAGAAGGTCCACCATCGGTGGCCCTCCCCTGGAGATGCCTGGGACCATGCCTACTGGCTATTTAAGACCTGGCCCATAGATCTGCCATGTGAGCTCTCATGTCCTCTTTTCCTGCCTTCCTGAGAGTCACCTGGGGGTGCTCTGCTTTGCATTGCCCTGTTTTTTAAATCTGTATTTATTAATAAGATTTGATTTGGCGTATTGCATGGTGGCAGAGGAGCCCAGTAACTGGGAATCTAATAATTAACAGATTTCAGACCTCAGGCTTGCAAGGTATACACTTACTGATTAAACTATCTCCCTAGCATTGACTTCACAGTTTTGTCAGGACCAGCAGGAATACCACTGGGCATTCTCAGGAGCAGTGCCAAATTCTAGAGTAGCCCTTAGACCAAATGCAACTTACCGAAATTGCGTGACCTGAACTGACTCAAAACCATGGATTCCTCTGTATGCTTCTTTAAGCTTAGAGAGAAAACAAAAGACAATGTTTCAGTATTTGTCCTCATACATCAAAAGAAATTGAGCAAAATATAGATGCAAACAATAAATAAACTAACAGTGTATGAGCAAAGGAAAAAGGGACCATGGGAAGAAGTTATGCCATAACAAAAGCAGTTAAAATAACAACTGAGAACACACACAATTTATTTTTGAGGATGCTAAGAAAAAACGACAGATCAGAGGCTGGTGAGATGGCGCCATCAGTGAAGTGATTGCCACAGGCATGAGGACCTGAGTTTGGATCTCTAGTACTCATGTAAGTGGGGTATAGAACCACGTACATTGGTAACCCTACGGCTGGGAAGTAGAGACAAGAGCTCCTGGGGCTTGTCAGTCAACCAGTCTAGCCAAATGGGGAGTCCAGTGAGGGATCTTGTCTCAAAATCTTAACAATGATCATGTGTAGATGGCTTTAACCAGAAGGCACGTGACATCTACCTCTGACATCCACACGGGCACACAGAGAGAGATGGTGACAGAAAAGGGGAAATAGGACAATAAATATTACGATAAATGTACCCAGATCTGTGTTCTGGTTCTGGACAGAGGCGCACTGATTGGTCTAGTTCTTATGTGCCTTTGTTCAGTAACTCCCTTCAGCTTCTAAGAGGTGCTTCTTTATGGAACAAAGTTAAACAGTTGAGTTTAGGTTGTTATAATTTATTATGTGTAATTAAAAACCATAAAATAGTCTAGAATCCATACTATAGTATTCAAATCAGTAAGAAACATCAAACACATGATAACTGATAACATCTCAGGAAAATGCTCAAGGGACGTCTACTGTGGGCAAAGCAAATAGTGGTTCTGTAAGAACTCATCAAATACAAGCAAGTAAATATGTACTAAGGGACAGAAGGGTGGGCTCAGCAGTTAGCTAGGAGCATGCAGAGGACCTGACATCCTCTGTTCCCAACATCCACCCAAAGTCTAACTCAGGGAGTCTGACGGCCTCTTCTGAACTCCGCAGACACATACAACCATTTCACACACATATCTACACACAGACACACACATATGTACACACAGATACACACATATACACACACACTCAAATTTAAAATTAAATACCTCTTTTTAAAATATGCTCCTAAGGGGCTAGGGTGATAGCGCAGTCAGGAAAGCAATTATTTTGCATGAAGACCTGAGTTTGAGCCCCCAGACCACATTTTTTAAAAAAAAAATCCAGATGTGATGGTACATGCTTATAATTCCAGCACCGAGGAGGTGGACAGGCAGGTCACACAGACTTACTAGCCAGTCCAGCTGAATTGACGAGCCCCAGGCCAAAGAAATCCCTGTCTAAAACTGGGAATAAAAGGGTGGGAGAAGAAAGAGAGAGAGGAAAAAAGAAAAGAAAACACATTTGAGGCTGTTTTTTCTCTGTCTCCCATATGTGCACACAGCGCCCACACGGGTAACCCCTCTAAATAAATATGCACACATATTAAATAAGGATAAAATGCAGTTCTGGGGGTCAAGACAGGAGGATAAAAAGCATGTTATGAATTGAAAAGCATCTGAACTTGTGGTTAGAAAGATTATCCTTACATAATAAATAGTGCTTACTTGATTTTCAATTTCAGTTTTGTAGTAGGCGTATACAGCAGAAGAGGAATTCCAAAGGTCTTTGATAAAAGCTCCATTAATTTTAAAAGTGCCCCAAACCTCTAGTGGAAAGAGGGAAAATAGATACAATAAATTAAGACACAATAAATTTCAGTAGCATAAAATTTTGAAAGTACAATTCAGAACCCATGCTAAGTATTTCTATTAATTTTCATAGACTATATTCATCTAAAATAATAAAGAAAAGAAAGAAAACCAGAATTCTCAGTTGTTTGGTTTCTAACAGTCATGGGAAAGTGCTAGTGATCAGGACAAGTCACTCAACACTCGTGTACGTATGTGTGTATATGCGTCTGTATGTGTGCACCTGTGTGTGTGCATCTGTGTGTGCATGTATGTATGTGTGCGTGTGTGTGTGTATCTCTGTGTGTGTACATGGAGACGAGATGTCTCATTTCTTTCTCAATTATTCTCTACCTTATTTTTTGAGATAAGGTCTCTCACTGAACCTGGAGCTCACTAATTTGGGTAAATTAGCTGGCCAGAAAGCCCAGGGATCCTGAAGTGTCTACTTCCCCAGTTTTGAGACTCCATGCATGCACTGTGCTCAGCTAAAGATCCAAACTCAAGTCTTCATGCTTGCACGCCAAGCACTCTAGTGACTGAGCTGTCTCCCCAGCCCTGACAGCTTAAAGGTGTTTGCTAACTCCTACAAGCCCCGTGCTTACTAGCTCAGGGCCAGTGCTCATATGTACAGAACTGGTCTCTCTGTGGACAACCCCTGCTCAGTCTGTACTCAGGGTCTAACCATCAGCTGCTCTGGAAACACTTCTCTGGGCCCCCCCCCCCCCCATGTAAAATCCTTCTACCTCTGAATTCCACCATGGCTTTCTCCATCTGGCTGTACCTCTCTTCACCATACTATGGGAAACCCTTCATGAGCACATCACCTGTCTGAGTCTTCTTTCTATTTCTTGTAGATGGATCAGAATTGGGCCTTCTTTCAAGATGAGAGCTTTCATTGGCATTTGGTGAAAAAGATTGCCTTCCTGTCCTTCTGATATTACAACCCAGCCTCCCCCACTAGTCTGATAATACATAAATAGTAAGACATATGCTTTGTGGGCTCTCTAAGGGTTTACTCTGGAACTGGACACGAGCATGGTCCTTAACAGACACATCATGCCATAACATGATGAATTGCTGTGGTCCTGGGAAGGGGAACTGGGCATGCTCAGCTAAGCAGGACTATTTCTGGCTCCTCCCTCATACTTAGAACCCAGAGCTTCAAGCTGACCAGGGCAGTCTTTCAGGAAGCTCCTCCCCCTCTTCCCACTCTCCTACCCTTCTTCCATCTCCTTTTCCTTCTCGTCTCCTTCTGCTTTGCAGACAGTGTCTCAAACTATAGCCTAGACTCTTGAGAACTCACTGTGTAGCCTAAACTGGCCTCAAACTCAGGGCAAGCTTCCTGCTTCTGTCTCCTGGGTGCTGGGATTACAGGTATGAGTTCCTATGCTCAGGGGGAATTTTCTTAAAGTCTGTTAGAGCCTGGAGTCCATGTCATTAGATTCATCTCCCTCTTCATAAAACAGGATCTTAAGTCAATGGTGGTTTCTCTACTCTTTTAGGCTATATATGTTGTGTGTGTGTGTGTGTGTGTGTGTGTGTGTGTGTGTGTGTGTGTGTAACTTGGAATATATTTGTTGGGATCCAGAGCAGAATTTTCAATATAATCACCAAGTGTCTCTCTTGCATTCACATATGTAGAATTAATGCTGGTAAAGAAGAGAAAAGGGAGAAGGAAATGTCCTGACTTAGTCCATTGCCTACTTGGGTTATAGAGCATCTTTCCAAATCTCAGTAGAATCCTGCAATCACAGCATTGAGCTAGCTGCATGCATCTAGAGGTTGAAATGACATCTAAACATCATCTTGTGTCTTCGGATCTGCTGCGGTGAGGAAGTTTTCACTGGTCTAGGCAAACCTAACTGGGTACTTCTACTTCAGTACCGCCCCTCAGCATCAGCTGCCCTCAGCCAGGCAAAGAACCACAGCACCTGTCTCTGTTGCATCCTGGGAAGAGAGCGCCCCAGCCCACAGTACTTACTTGCTCTCTCACAGAAGTTAACACTCTGGCTGAGGTCTTCAAGAGGGCAGTTACAGCTGGGGAGGGGTCCAGTTGTATTAAGGTAGCAGTTCTGGGGGTCAAGACAGGAGGGAGGAAACCACATATAGCTGTCCTCACAGGCACACTCCGGGAACCCCTTCAAGCTTCTGCAGTCTACAGACAGAAAAAGAAATAGACCACAGTCTCACTGTGTCTGCTTTCTACATCAACTTCTGTTCCATCCTTGGCTCTGACTTGGAATCTGAACCAAGGATTTCTCCGCAGAAGCTGGGAGGATGACAATGTATTTAAGACACAGAAATGTCCAACTCCATAGATTCTGAGGTTGCTGGGCAAATCTTAGCAGAGAAAAAACAAATGGCTTGGCTTAGCACCCAAAACAAGGCTATGGATCCCACAGGTATCCACTGTGATGGAAGAGAAAGACAGAAACATAGTCTCGACATAAGAGTTATCATTGAAAGGGTCTAAAGGGTAGTTGATCCCTATCTCATTTGAGTCCCCATCCATCCATCCACAAATCAGCACACCAAGGGAGAACTTAAAAACCACGTGGCAGGGCTGAAGATGTGACTCAGTGTTTAAGAGCTCTGCAGGGGACCTGGGATTGATTCCTAGCACCCACGTGGTGGTTCGTAGACATCCAGAACTCCAATTCTAAGGGATTTGAAGCCTTCTGGCCTCCTTCGGCACTAAGCATGCATATAGTACACACACGCACACAGACAGACACATATACATGCAGGCAGAACACTCATACATGCTGAGCATGGCGCTGCCTGCCAATAATCCCAGCACCTGGGAGGCAGAGGCAGGTGGATCTCTGAGTTCAAGACCAGCTTGATCTACAGAGTAAGGTCCAGGACAATCAGGGCTATACAGAGAAACCCTGTCTTGGAGGGGGAAACACTCATACACATAAACATTTCAAGTGTTTTAAAAGCTTAGAAAGGCAGAACGATTTGGAGGTGGGGTGATGGTGAAAACGTCTACCAATCAAAGCTGTGCAATCGTTTTGTATTAGGCTTGACACGCCCATTATAAGTCCTTCCATCTTAACAAAGAGCTGAAGGGTAGGGGCGGAGAGCAGGGAAGTAAGCTGGGGTCAATCCAGGATATGCTTGAGAAACTTACGTAGAAGTGTGTAGTGAGTGCTTGTCAAACTTTAGGACGCTTCAGGAGTCCCTAGGGCATTTCACCCCAGAGCCTCTGGTCCCTCATGTCTGACATGGACTAAGGAACATGCATTCCTATTCAGTTCCCTACTCCTGATGGCAGTAGAGGTGACCCGAACACTGTGGGACTCACAGCTTTTGACAAGTTGTTAGACTTCTCTGGGGACCACTTCTGTGGATTGCATTATTAAATGCTTCTTGCTATCTTATGGATACATACTGGAATTTCATATCCCAGCCCGATGAGCCTGGATAGGGTCATAGAATAAATTCTGGTCAATACAGAATTCGTGTCTTCCATTCTCAGCTAAAAAATGTCATTGTCTGTGTGAGGGTCTCCAGGATTTCATGTCTTTGTTGCTCAGAATGAATACATTTGAAGTAGGATCTCACTCATCAGCTGGTACCTGAGGGATGACCACAAACACAGCCCCCTTGCCAACATGCAATGGACATGTCCCATTAAGAAGAAACATTGGTTCTTGACCCCGCAGAGTTTGTATGGAATGGTCATTTTTCACACCACAGCCTACATACCCTGACTGACCCGCCCCTCTCCCCAGTTACACTCCCCATCCCTGGGAAGCTAATTTACATGTGGTGGCCTTCACTCTGATGATCTCGCTGGGCCCGCGTAAGCATGGTGATGGAGATTTCAAATGCTTCAGAAATCTTTTCAGTTCTCTCTTCTCCCCAGGATCCCTGTATGTCATCTGAAGCAGGATCTCGTACTCCTGGGCTGGAGGGAGAGAGGGGTTATCAGAAGGTACCTGTGGGGGCGGGGGGAAGATGTCTTAGCAGTCATCACGTACTGCTTAAAGCTCCTGGACTGTCCCCGATGCTTGTCGCTACATTCCGCACGTCCAGACATGGCCTTAACGTGAGCAAGCAGAAATGCCTCACACATGTGTCACACGGATCTCTCCTCCCACTTCTGCTAGGTCAATAGTTCCCAAGCTCTCTTTCCTGACCCAGACTCAAGGGAAACAGGCTGGAATATCCTACTCACCCTTCTGGGCTAGCTTTGGTTTCCTGGAAATCTCTCCGACATAAAACCCCCAATGTCACCCTTTCCAAAGAACTCATTTTTTTAAATGTTCCATGAATGAGTGGGGGTTTAGGGATTTGTTTGAAATACAAAAACAAAACACAACTAGACCCTGGCTTGTGTCTGTGCACAGTTGTTACCTCTAGTTGCTGCTTATTTAATAACTTTCCTTTCTTTCCCCTCAAAGACGAGCCTTCGGTACTTGGAACCCTGGTGTCCTCGGCTTCCCTATGCCAATTTTACCTTGGGCCTTTGCATGCGTTAACTTTGCAGCAAGGTTGATTAGATTAAAATCTTGTCTACTGTTCCCACAGGTCTTGGAAGTACCCCCGAAATGATGGGGAACAGGGTAAATGTGAACCTGTTCACTTTCCCAGGAGTTAGTGATACTGAAGCCAGATAGGTTGGGTTAAATCTTGTCTTACAGCCCTTAGCCCTAAACCCCAGTTTTACCATTTTAAAATAAAGATGGCAATGATATAATAGAGCTAAACACAGCCTGGCAATAGTGACAGTCCAGTGAATAAACGCTTACTGTATTTTTATTGTCACTGTTACTCTTGGGGAGATCTTGTTTGTGGCGTTCTGTGTTAAACTTTTTGTTTCATTTCCCTGAAGAACTGTAGCCTTGCTTTGGGGACATTCTCATGCTATGCCTAGAACATGACTGCTTGCCATGTATGTGCATTTAAATGCATTGCATGTCAGAAGCCTTTTGGGCACTGCTCTGGAACCTACAACCATCTGGGGGATCAATGTTTTCATAAGGAAGCACATTCAGTGCTTCAGACGGCAGACTTGCATGTTAACGTCCACACTGGGACTCATCCCCAAGCTGAGAGCTCTGCCCATTAATTACATTATAGGAGGGAGGCACAAGAGAAGAGGAACAAAGGAGAGGCTCCGGTCTGGTGTGGTGTAAGATGCCCATCTTCCTTGTCAGCTTGCCTGGATCTGTAGTCACGTAGCAGACACGCCTCTGAAAAGGTATCTGAAGGAGTTTCCAGAGAGGTTTAACTGAGAAGGGAAAGCCCACCCTACATGTGTACGGCACCATTTTGTGAGCTGAATAGAAGGAAAAGGAAGGAAAGCACACTGAACACCAGCGTCATTCCCTAAGCTTCCTGAATGTGGGCACCGTGTGACCAGCTGCCTCGGGATCCAGCTGCCGTTCCTTCCTAACAGAATGGATTGCATGGTCTCTTAAATCATGAGCCCAAATGTGTCAGTCCTTCATCGCAGTGCTTGGGTAAGATGTTTGGCCACAGCAAAATTATGCCAACTAATACACTGTGTCGTTATTTGATCTTTGCTCGTAAGAATTACTGTTATTCTCCCTTTACAGATTCGGGTAATCTCATAATGTGCCTAAGATCCCCTGGCAACTGCTGAGGTCAGAACCCTGTTTTCGTGGCATCAGGGTCCAAAGTACCAAGACATCTAATAGGATCTTACCTGGATGCCTTTTCTCAACCAGACCGACATCTCCTTTTGCTTGGTTGTCATGGTTTTTTTGCTACAAAAGGAAAGAAGATGGCTACAGTGAAGCTTTGTGATCTGCCCATCATAAGGTCTGTTGAGTTTCCCAGGTGAGCCACAGTCGAGTGTGATAACAGATGGCCATGAAAGGCCGTACCAAGGCCTGTTTTGAGCGAAGACCTGGAGGAAGTGATGGTGTCCGGGGGAAGAGAAGGTAATGGTCTTGCAAATGGGCAGGAACAGCATGAGTGCGGGTCAGTGCTATGAATGTGCCCACTGTGACGGTAAAGCAAGGGACTGGAGAGCATGAAGAAGTGGGTGAAGGGAGATGAGTAAGAGGCGGGGCCCAGAGTCCACAGAGGCGGGTCATGTAGGCAGAGGCAAGGTGTGTACGACCATCAGACCAGAGAAAGATTTTAATGCTTCGTGGGAAGGGAAGTGTTGTTGTTGGGTGTGTGTTTGTGCGTTGCGTGTATATTAGTTGGGTATATTAGTGAGTGCACCCATGTGCACATGAGAAGACCAGGAGAAGCTATTGAATGTCTTCCTCTGACAGGCTTTAGTTTATCCCTTGGAGACAGAGGTTCTCAGTGAATCTGGCCGTTGTTACGGCTAGAATGCCTGGCTCAGTGCCTGCCATCTCCACTCTCCTGGACTGAGCTTACAAATCTCCACTCTCCTGGACTGAGCTTACACATACGCTCAGGTGTCTTTAAGTGCTTGCTGGGGTCTCAAAATTGAGTCTTCATGCTTGCAGATCAAGAACTCTTCCGAGTCAGCTCTGCAGCCCTGGTTTTAGCTTTTCCCCGAGTGAGTCATGCAGAGTTTGGACACACATGAGAAAGAGTCACTCTGATTTGCTTTACAGAAGCCTTAATCCTGGCGCCCTGTTAAGAACAGCCAAGCACAGAAACAACGCAAGCATTTCTGGTGTTACCAAGGGGCTACAGAACTGAGATCATAAAGCTCTCGGTGGAGACCGCAGCGGTGGAAGAAATTAGAAGAGTCTGACTTCTAGACAGGTTTTAAAGTAAATTTTAAAACTGGTTTACATATGCAGCATTACAAGACTCAAGCACGGCACAGTTTTTACCCAGACAGCAAGAGAGTGGTTTGGTAAGAAAATTCAGGGTTCAGTTTGGGACATGTGAAGCTGAGGAACCCTAGTGTCCAAATGGATGGCAGCTACATGAGTGAAGAGTTCGGGCCGAAGCATCTGGACGAAAATATACACTTGGGAATCGTCAGTGACTTGAAAACATTTAAGCCACAATCCTAGATGAAATCATTAAGAAAGTGAGTAGCCCATAGCTGGATTGATGGCTCAGTTACTAAAGCACTTGCTGAACCAGGGTAAAGACCAACTAGAGTTTGGGTCCCCAGAACCCTGTCCATGTGAGTGCTAAGTAGGCAAAATGGCCTAGCTCCAGCCCTGGAAGATAGACACACAGGACAAGTTAGCTACCAAGAGTCATCATGTCACCGACCTCTGGGCCTGAGAGATCCTTCCTTAGTAAATAAAGTGGAAAAACAATTGGGAAGAATTTCTAAAATCAACCTCAGGCTTGATTTTGCCCACACATGTAAACATGCAGACTCACAAATTTGCAACAAATACATACAAATAGGGAAAAAAGCAAGAAAGTACACTGGCAATTGAGAGACAGAGGCAGGAAGATCTTTGCAAGTTTGTGGCTAACGTGGTCTACACAGAGCGTTTCATGCCAACCACAATTGCCTATCTCAAGAAGCATAAAGCAAGGGAAGGATGATGGTGCACATCTCTAATCCTCAAATGCAGGAGGCAGAGGCAGGAAGATTAGTGGTTCAAAGTCAGCCTCAGCTACATAGAGTGTTTGAGACCAGCCTGAGTGGCATGAGACCCTTTACTAAGCACCTATGCCAAAAGAAAGAGGGGGAGTGGAAAAGAAAGAGCAGGCCCATGGGCTATTAGTGTCTACCCACGTGGTTTTCTGTTCCCAAGAGACCATGGCAGAGAATGTGCTGAGATAGGCAAGCTCTCCAAGATGATTAAATTTCCATGGGAGAAGCCTTGTCTGCAATCCAGGCACCTGCACTTCAGAGATTAACTTACTGAAGACCTCACAGGGAATGCTGGTAAATACTGAGGCAAGAACATGGGACTTCTGATACGAAGTCCACCAGGCTCTGTAGCTCAGTTGCCTGGAGAGTGACAGATTCCGAGGTAGCAGGAAGGTGGAGAGAAGGGATGGCTGCCTAGAGAAACCAGACATGTACCGACTCACCTGCAGGAAGCCTTTGGTGCCCTCAGTCACAGGGTAAAGAGCAATGAGCCACAGCAGTCCAACTGTCATTTCCAGTAGCGTCTTCTCCCCTCTCTGGGCCGAACATAGACACCCTGTGTCTGGTCTCTCAGGAGGCTGTGCGCTAAAGCAAAGATTATGAGTCAAGGCTGTAAACGATACATTCAGCATCAGTCCCTCAAGTTTTACTGGAATTTTCTTTGTTCCCTTAAAATATCCAAGGGCCCTACAAAGCACAAATGTGAAAGATAGATTTGGAATGCTTAAACTTAAAATTAACAACCAGGCAGTCTAGCAAGTTTCCTTCTGAATAACTGATGGAGTTAGTAACAAACTGTTCTTAAGTTTCTATTTATATTAAATAATTTGGACAGAATTCAACACACAAACATTGTGATGGTTTCAAAGAAAACTGGCCCTCATAGGCTCTGGTGTTTGAACATTTGGTTTGCAGTGGGTGGCGCTGTTTGGGGAGGTTTTAGGAGGTAAAGGCTGGCTGGAGAAAGCACACCATGGGGTCAGGTTTGGGCGTTTACAGGCTCACGCTTCCACAAAACACTATTTTATGTTTGTGGTTGAATATATGATCTCTCAACGTCCTGCTCCCACTGCCACGTCTCCCTCACCATTATAGACTTTCCCTCTGGACAGTAAAGTAACATACACTCTGTCTTCCTTTCGCTGCCTTTGAACCTTTTATGGTTCTTTATCACAGCAACAGAAAAACAACTAATACAGACGTGGTCACAAAATTAACCTTTTATATATCCAGGCTGTCTGATATTGAAGAAAAGTCATGCTAGCTTACAATTGTTCTGTCTAATACTTAGCCACTAGGCACATGAGGCCTCTACATTTTTTAATTTTAATTAAAATTGTATTTAAAATTCAGTTTCTCAGACGAAGGCTTTAGCACGCATGAGTTCAATCTGCAGTAACACAACACACACACACACACACATACACACAATCAGTTTATCAGTTGCATTAACTGAGAAACACATTTTTTGTCCTTGTATTTTTGTTTTGTTTTTAGTTTAGTTTGTTTGTTTGTTTGTTTTTTGAGGCAAAATTTCTCTGTAGTTCTGGGGCCTGTCTTGAAACTCACTCCGTAGACCATGCTGGTCTCGAACCCACAGAGATCCACCTTTCTCTGCCTCCTGAGTGCTGGGATTAAAGGCAAGCATCACCACTGCCCCACTTGTCCTTGTGTTTTGGAGATAAGATATCATGTAGCCCAGGTTGTCCTCAAACTCGCTACCAGCTAAGGATAAAGCTAAACTTCCGATTCTCTCAGCTGTGCGTCCCAAATGCTCGGACTACGAACGTGTGCGGCCAAGGTCAGTGTGTGTGGTCCTGCGGATGAACCAGTGCTTCACACATACTGCACAAGCATTCCATCAACTGAGATGCATCTCCAGCAACCGGATATAGTCTAAGGTTTACAAGTCACAAGTGGCTAGCGGCTATCATGTTAAGTAGCATGCTACAGAATACTTCCATCATTTTGGAAAGCTTAACTGGACAACAGTGACAGAATATAGAGGATTATTTCCCTGGCCTATCAGCATTTCTTTTACAGCTCAATAGGAAATCATTTTAAAAATAGTTCCCAAACTCAATAATCCCCCTTTAGTGTAAGTGTACAGATCGGTACAGAGTGGGCTCTCTCTGCCACTTACCTTGCTTCTTGATGAACTTAACCTTCATGTGCACACTGTCATCCCTGCCGGATGCTGCTCTCTGACCTGAAGAGAAAAGCATCAGGGATGGGGGAGGACTACCATACCCATGGCCGGTTTTCTAGGGCCTTCTGGGGCCTGCTAAGGGAGCGTGGTGCACATATGGTATCTGTATCCCTTGCCCTCTAGGGTGAAGGAATGGTCCTCTCACATCCCGCCCTTCTTCCTGCTTGCCAAAGACTCCTCTTAGATCTTGGGCTGGGTGAGTCTGCAGATGGAAGCCTATGCCTCAATCATTATTTTAGGTCTTGGCCTAACTGCTCTAAAGTCCGTCTGCTACTGCCTGCGTTCACTGTTCTCCAAAGCTAATGGGTATTTGTAAGTGAAGAACATTTCGAATTTTTTTTCTAGCCTGCAGTAACACAATACAATATGCACACACTTATCTTTCTGTGTCAGCATTTGGGGATTGGTCCAGGGCTGCTGAACATATCAACATCTGCACAGATCTCTCATATAGACTGGTGGAGCCACGGTTCTCAACCTGTAGGTCATGCCGCCTTTGCGGGTCAAGGTTGCATAGCAGATATCCTCCATATCAGATATTTATAAACTATAATTCACACTAGTAGCAAATTTACAGTTACAAAGTAGCAATGGAAATAATTTTATGGTTGGGAGGTCACCACAACATGAGAAACTGTGTTAAAGGGTCACAGCATTAGGAGGGGTAGAGTATCCGGCAGTGACTGAGACACATCTTCCCACAGACCTGAACACAGTGCGATGCCAGTGCTATGGAAACAGATGTTATGTTGTATCGCTTAGGAAATAACGAGGAGAAAATGACTGCATGTATTCAGGGCAGACACACAGTATCAGCCACAATGATCAGGTTAATGAGTATTTTATTTTACTCATTATGTGTACATCATGTGAATATTTGTACATGTACACACAGAGTAACTGGATTCTTTTCTGTGTTGTACTTTGGATATTCTCTCTCTCTCTTTCTCTCTCTCTCTCTCTCTTTCTCTGTGTGTGTGTGTGTGTGTGTGTGTGTCTGCATGTGTGTGTCTCTGCGTGTGTCTGTGTGACTGTCCATGTGTGTGTATGTGTGCACATGTGCATGTGTGTATTCTAGTTTCTCTTCCACTACTATGATAAAACGACCTGACAAAGCCATGGAGAAAGAAAGCCTACATTTATGATGAGTTCCACCCCCGCACCAAACGGTCAAGACAATCTTCAGCACACTCCCTACTGGCCAATCCAATTCAGAACACCTCATCCTCCTGCCTCTACTACTGAATTTCTGAGATTATGGGTATGCGTATCCACACCACTGGTTATAACCAAACCTTGGATATTTGCCTTTGTTTTATTTTATTTCAGTTTTATTATTGTTGTCAAGCGTGACTAAGCTAATACTTCGATGTAGTACAGCCGCATAGCTAGGGGAGGTGGAGCTACCCGCTTCCCTCTTTTTCTTCATTTCCAGGAAGACTCTTCTAATTTAAATTGCCAGGTATTCTTTTGCTTGTGGCTTGTAACCCTGGAGCTGACAGATAGGATAACAGTCTCTGTACCCCACCTGTGCCCTCTCTGTGTGACAAGGACTATTCTGAAATGAAAGGCCTGGTGTCATGTGATTCCCACAACTCTCTGTACTCTCCTGCTAAGAACGTTTCCTCCCATGTGCAGCCTCAGGCCGCAAACCCAGCTCAGGAAGCCTGAGTGACAGCTCCGGTCATCCTAAGGAAGTCTCCTCTCCACCTTATTATTTCTCTGACTCTTTTTCTGGACCGCCTCTTGGGACTTTTCCAGAATGTTAATCAGTGATGTACAGTCGAGGTTTGCATTGATCTGTAGGCTGATCGTGAATAGATACACCATGAAGAAAGAAGGGAAGGGCTGGAGAGATGGCTCAGTGGTTAAGAGCACTGACTGTTCTTCTAGAGGACCCAGGTTCAAGTCCTAGGACCCACATGGCAGCTCACAACTGTCTGCAACTCCAGTTCCAGGGGATCTGACACCCTCACTTGGAGGCAAAACACCAATGCATACGAAACAAAAACAAATAAATATATCATTTTTTAAAAAATGCTTCTAAAAAAGAAAGAAGAGAAAATAAAGAAGCAGCAGAGGAGAAACAGGAAGGATTGAGAATAGAAGAGAACATTTTGGCACTCTTTAGAAAACAGAGACATACATATTTTCCCTAAAGCCTGCTAAATTTTGAACAAGTTCAGCCTAGCTATGGCTGTTATTAAAGGTATTCAGCAATTCTCATATCCAAGTGGATGTACTTCCGGACGATCTCTAGGCTAGGTAAAAGATCTATATACTTAACCTGGTTCTGCAATAGGTGTCCTGGTCCAGGTTTTGGTACCTCCTGTATTGGTCTATGTTATACTGTGACAAAACATCAGGCAAAAGCAACTAGCATAATGGGTGACTCGTTTGGGCTCATGACTTGAAGGTACCGTCCTCTAAGCCAGGGCATGGTATCAGGGGCTGAGTTTTCTGATCACATTGCAGTGACAGTTAGCAGGCAGAGAGAGCTCACGCTGGTGGGTAGCCCCGTGTCTCTGTTTTATCCAGTCTCAGATGTCAGTCTGTGGAATAGGGTCACCACATTTAAGGATCTTCCCACCTCATTTAACCTCATTTAGAAAGTCCCTCATAGACAGGTTCACATCAATATCAACCACCACTGCGCTAAGGCTTGAACTAATGGTTTTCCTCTCTGGTTCCTTAATGTGTAGAGTTTCCTATGCTACAGGGTTGGACAATACATTAAATAAGAACAAGAAACCCCAAGGTAGGTATATCTGAACTTCAAAGAAGCAATGATTAACATTTTAGGATAATTTTGCTCTGTGTGGTACTTGGAACATTCTCCATTGTCAGATAAGATGAATTTATCTGACATTCAAATTTAGCTGGGCATCCTGTATTGGACAAGTCAAAGGGAGAGAAATATCATCTCAAGGTACACAGATCAAGACAGCCTCTAGTGCTAGCCTGCCTTCCCTCCGGTGTTGACCTTCTCAACTGGAGGTCTATGTGCTCTAGGCTTTCTGTGTCTTTGTTTATTTACCTTTAAAATAAGAGAGTCAGGCCAGGAGGTGGTGGCACACACTTTTAATCCCAACACTCAGGAGGCAGGGGCAGGCAGATCTCTGTGAGTTCGAGGCCAGCCTGGTCTACAAAGTGAGTGTCAGGACAGTCAAGGCTACACAGAGAAACCCTGTCTTGAAAACCAAAGAGAAAGATAAGGGAATCAGGATCTAATTCGCAAGTTCCTGGGAGAGTCTAATGAGTTACTGTGTGTAAAGTGGCCCAAACAGTGACCACTGTCCACTGTCACCCACGCAGGTCAGCAACACGTTATTCTGTCCACCTTATTCCCATTTGTGAAGCTCCTTGCTGGAGTACG